CTCCTTCATCCCCGTTGGCGATGGCGACGAAGTAGTTCGTGCAATCGCCTACCGCCTCCCTCAATGGCTTCCCCGGTCCCTGACCCCAGAATGCGTCGCAGTCGATCCACAACTTCGACCTCTCTTCGAGATCATCCTCTTTAACCCCTTTCTTCACCATCGCCGAAACCGGACGGTCGTCGTCATCATCGCCCCCCCCCCTGGCATCCTTCCTCCCATCATCAAGGCGGACGTCATCGACCCTCCCCTCTCCCGCACCCTCCACGACTCCGCTCCCAGTGGTGTTATCCGCCACCGCCGTCCGACCACCGCCCGCCGTCGTGTCGACCTTTTGCGCGGACGGTGTTTTTTCCACCCCTGAAGTCCCCGCCTGTAGCGCTGGGATTGGCTGACGTGGCGCCACCTGCCCGACCTTTGGCGGAACTTGTCTCGCCACGCGCGCGTCCGTCATGACAATCCCTGCCGACTTCGGGGTTCGTGCCAACGAGACGGCGACACCACCGACCAAACATTGCTTCGGAGTGGCCAGCTGATCCCTCGACACCCCGTCCCGCCCAAACCCCAATTGCTTCATGACGTCCGCCCCTTGTGCATCCACCATCGACTCTTCCTCGCYGTGCAAATCCCCACTATGTTCGGAGCTGTCGTCATCGAAGCGCGGCCTTTTCGACTTCGGTATGTGCCCTCTGCCTTTTTGGGTCTCCCCACCGTCGCCCGATCCGCTGTTTCTTTTCGCCTTCCCTGAAGCGCCGCACGGTGCCATGTCGTCCACAAAGAAGTGCGTGCCGAATGCAAAAAGYTGCGGCGCTTGGCTRACGTGGACGAAGGACCACGTGGACGACGGGAATGAAGGAGCGGGGGGAGGTCGATGAYGGGCACCTTGCCGACGGACAACGTTGATGATGCGGCGCTTCACTGGTGTGGACGAAGGACCAGTCCGATGGCACGCCGCTTGGCTGACGTGGATGYAGGAGGACGTGGATGCCCGCGGAGCCCAAACTCGCCGATCGTAGCRTGACAAACAGATGACTACGCCTGCGACGACGATACCATGCACAGACGGTGCCTTTGGACCCGTCGCGATAGAATGCCAGCGGTACGGAATGCCTCCCGGAATGCCCTTTGGTACAGTGCGCGGTCTCGCAGCACACCATGGACAGGCCAGGCCGTCCACTACTGCCCGCCCCTTCGTCGATTTACAACATACGAATTTTCTCGCGCCGTGGAGGTCATCCTCCGCATGACGAACAAGGCACGATGGCGCGCAGGCGCTCCCCGCAGGAGGTACAAAGACCCCGCCCCCCATCCATCCTCTCCCGCCCCCAAAAAGGCCAGGCACTCCAATCCGCCATTTTCCCCTCGCGTCCCAAAAAACCCACCCYGCAGCCTACACATTCGCGGACACCCCCAAAGAAGACCCTCGAAGATCGCCATCCATCCGTGGAGACAACAACTCACAACARCGTTCTTTAAACACTATCTAAAAAAATGCAGGACCTGCTGTATAACCTCAGGACGCGGTGCGGGGCATGAAAGTAAACAACGCCCTTCACAGTCATGAATAAAACCCGCGATTATTACAAAGCGTGAGCAACGACGACTCGCCGACTGTACACAACCTACACATCACCGTGCTGCAGCACGGAGGACGGCGGAAAAGACGACGTGCCGGAAGCGCACACGGGCCATGCCTCCGGACGTTCGACATGCCTTGTCGGCCCAYGTCAAGCTCGTTCGCGGATCGTTTTAGCAATCTCCATGAGGGCGTTGCACATCATGAAGTTCGCCTGKTCAGCCTTCTCGTAGTGATCCTTCTGCACTTGTATCTCTCTCTCCAGAATGTCGCATTGCCTCGTCAGAATCGAGCACTGCCTCTTGCTCGCGCTGTCCACCATCGTCGACATCAGCGCCCCGTGCTCCTTCATGACGTCCGCCATCGCCTCGAAGGTCTGTTGTCTGACGTTCTTTCGTTTGCCGGCCCCGCCACCGCCACCGCCGGAGAAAGACGAGTCCCTCGTCGATCCGCGATCGTCATCCTGACCRCCCCCCCCTATGTCACTACCGCTGGATTCGTTTCGCCCACCAACCGTGCCAGGCAATTGAACACCTCCCGGCGCACCCGTGTCCGCGAGATTCGTGGGGTGTATAGTGTGATCGCCCCTGGACATCACCTTCATCTCCGAATACACGCGCTCATCCGTCCTAAAGTCGAACCCCYGCTCCCTCCTCTCCCCTGGCGTTAGTGTGAATTAATTAGGCTTCCCGGACTCTCCCATGAACTTGTGCACGGATTTGAACTGCTGGTACAGGTTGTCCCATTTCTTTCCGCAGTCGACGGCCTTCCTACTCGTCACCCCCATCTGCACCAGCCTCTTCTCCACGTCCTCCCACTTCCATGTCTTTGTCTTCATCCATCTGTAGTTGTGCCCCAGGCCGGCCAGATGCGAATCCTGGTCTCTTTTGGCTCTGATAAGAGCGATCATATGCTCCACTGTCCAAAAATCCCTGCTTTTTGTTCCGTCGCCTGCCAACGATTCTTCGCTGCACTTCTTGCCTTTCCGCCCCGTGCGCGATTCTCTAACCTTGGTTCTCGCCATCGACCCTCCGCGCTTCCTCCCTACTGGACGAATCTCCATCTCGCCGTCGTCGTCTTCGTCGTTGTCATCACCGCCGTCGTCCGCAGCGATCTCCTCGCCCCCTCCACCAGCGCAGTCCTCAAATTCGTCTTCGGCCCCCACACTGATTCTCGCCACCCCTATCGTTATGCTGGCCGTGTTCGTGGAACGCAATCGTTGTYGTTCATCATCCCAAAACTGACGACCGACGACCTCTGCGGCGTCGCGCTCATTATCATCCCCTTCTCCCTCGATTGCACCGCCTGGCGTCGTCATTCGGCAGCCTGCCAATCCAATTGTCTTCGTCCTCGACGCCGCCACACTTGCTGTACTCAAAGCCACCCGCCTCAGCAGAACGAATCCACGRCTATCCGCAGGGCCAGCCGCCCTCACGGAAGGCGATGTGTGTTTGGAGGCAGAAGCCGAGTTCACGACAACAGTGTGCGTCAGGCCCTCGCCACTCCCAGACCTCAGACCGAAGCTCAGATCGACAAGTCCAGCGTCGTAACCAGCGGGGGTCTGGCCCTCCAGCAAATCAGTGTACGTCGGCGTCGATGCGTGTCTGTACACCTGGCTCCCCATCCAATCCTGCATCGAGCCGCTGCCCAGAGGAACCGTTGAGGATCTGGGGTCGTCGACGTCGTCGTCAATCGGAGGCAATGGAATCTCGTGGGACCGCAGGTGGCTGTACAGCGTCGGGTCGTACGACCGCCTGCCGCCTTTCGTATTGTTGCAACGCTGACGCGAGGACCCCCCACCTCCCACCGACATCGTCGTCTTTGTCTGAAGCTTATCCATCTTCGTCGACCTCTTCGGCGTTCGACGCGTCTGTTTCCTTCCAGGAACGCGACCGAGGAAACAGATGTGGAAGACGACAACGATGAGCAGCGGCAGAGCGACGAGCAGAAGCAAAGGCAGCCTGCGGTACAGGTCCGCCATCAACGTCAGGTTTGCCGACACAGAACCGTTGTCGCAATCGCGGCGAGCAGAGACACACTGTGCGAGAGGGAAGACGCCAATGAACGAAATTCATGCAAGCAGCGACAGGGGGAGGACACTTACAAAATCCATAATTCCGACCGTTGGGAGGCCCGCGGGAACGCCACGAAGCCTCCGGGCGCCGGCCGAAGACGTCCGACGATCGCCATGGCCCCTCCGTGGGGCCGCCCGAAGGACCTACAGGGTCGTCCCGCGATTTAGCGCCAACGGTAAAACGAGGAGGCCGTTGCTGGAGGTTTTCGACTACGACGGCCGGGGATGTCCGTCTTTTGGCCGCTGGTCCACCACTGGACCACCTTCGGCCTCCAATTTCCATTCTGGAGTAGCCACCGACACCCCGTTAATCGCGGATCCTCGGGCTCCGAAGGACCTCGTGAGGTCCTTCRAGTTCAAGGACGATTTGGCTGGGAAATCCTCGGAGCCCGAGGATTTGTCCTCGGAGTGTTTTCACATTTTCATTTCCGATTTCATCTCCGAGGACAGGTGGAACGACGACGGAATCCTTGGAATCGCGTCCCCGAGGAGTGTCTAACGATGCCCAAAGACAGATCATCAGAAAAAAGAAAAAGTCAACATGTAACCAGTGTATGACCCCCGAGGCAAGGGGAATGAAAAACTGAATGTTTTTTTCTTGCGTTTTTAGCTCAAAACCTGACCCATCATCTGGAGTCCGAACTTTTTTTTTTTTTTTTTTTAAATGGGTATGGTTGTTGGCAACAGCTTAGTATCGATTGTTCCTTTCTTTTTTTGTTTTTCAATTATTGTGCTATGGGGTCATAATGATAAGAAACTGGACTGGCGCCCTCCCAGCATAAAAAGGGGGTTGTATCTTTAAAAAAAAAATAAAAAAAATGTTGACAATGTTTAATTACATTGATTTTTATCATGGATTCGGCCCATCATGAAAAAACAGCACAGTTTCAAAAAAAAAAAAAAAAAAAAAAAAAAAAAAAACGGCATAGTGGTAAGTAAGTGAGAGTGGTCACAGACAACACACTCAGACACGACACATAATCGTCACCGACGACGACAGGTATGTGAGAAACAATCTCGAAGAAAAGATCTCAAGAAAAAACAGAGTTACAGACCGAGATCCACCGGCGCATGGTCCATAGGCGGCCATACCTATGAGTCGAACTCCTCCCGTCGCAGAGCTGAGTGAAGGCCCGGAGAGGGAGTCGAACTGGCAATCCCTTACTAGTTTCAGCCGCTGCCCGTAAAGCGACCTCATCATACGGTTTCGAGATGCTAAGGGAGATAACTTCCTACATTATTTATACCACTACTACTACGACTTCTGCATCGTAACTGCCCTGGCCTACCCATCCCAAGTCGCTAGTTCCCKCCCCTTACTTTCACGAAATACTTCCTGATCCTTCCATACCAATCGTTCACTGCGCCTGTTCCAATTTTGGTAACCGGACTGGGTCCCCTTTTTTTTTATTTTATGGAATGGCCCATGCGATATCCCTCGATCCAGGYGGCGGTAAGAGAACCGTCAGAATTGAGGGCTTACCTGTCGGGCTACTCCATCTATTGGTGGGGAGCGGCACCTGCTGGAAACCGGGTCCAGTGTCCCATTGGTACGTCGTGTAGCACTGAGATTGGTGTTTGTTGTTCCCTGGGGCTATGGTTCTTACTGACTCATCCTGGGGCTCCATCATCCCATGGAGCTGCTAGTATCACCCTTCCCTTTGTAGGAGCACCCCTTATCTATTAACCCAGCCCTTATTTCAGCAGCCCCCCTGCTTGATTATTACTATGCCTKTCCCYTGTGAACTCTTTCTATCCTATTCCCCTTGAAAGATTGGCTGAACATTCATATGTCTGGGACCACGTCGTTCCCCTCCTGAATCAACGTAAGACCCTGCTGAAAAAGCATCTGCTTCCACGTATGAGCATGGCCCATCAGAGCTTGCTGCTATCTGGTGTTTCAACCAGTTCTGTTTGGGTGTCTTCA